GGCATAGACTCTCTGAGATTCTTTAGATACACAAAGTGTCATGTAAAAGCTGACAGTCTCATCTGACTCAAAATGTAAGGAATGGAGTTCACTTCTTTAAGGTCATGGAAAAATTAAGAGGTGGAGTAATATTCTGTAACAATAAGACATAATTCTTTAAAATGTAGCAATCAACCAAAGGTCAGTCTTTATTGAGCTAAAGCATGAAAAGAAATGTTATTATGTTTCATGCACAACTACACAGATTGATCGATTATAATCATCTTGCTCCAAGATAAAGTGGACACCAAAGAGGATACAAGCTGGGCAAGGTGGCTCTCGCCTGTAATCCTAGCACTCTGGGAGACCAAGGTGGTGGACTGCCTGAGCTCAGGAGTTCTAGACCAGCCTGAGCAAGAGTGAGACCCTGTCTTTAAAAATAGCTGGGTGTTGTGCCTATAGTCCAAGCTACTTGGGAGGCTGAGGCAAGAGGATTGCTTAAGCCCAAGAGTTTGAAGTTGCTGTGAGCTATGATGCCAGGGCACTTGACCCAGGGCAACAGAGTGAGACTCTGTCTCAAAAAAAAAGAAGACACAACAAATGCCCCAGCTAAAGGGCAGGTTCACAAACTATGGTCATGTATGTTGTTAATGTTAATATTTTGCGTAAGCACTGAGCTTCTGCCTTGATTATGACTCTGAATAAATAAAAGTGTTAAGTATGTTTCAAAAATATTTTTGGGCTTGGTGCCTATAGTATAGAGGTTACAGTGCTGGCCTCATACACCCAGACTGGCAGGTTTGAACCCAGCCTGGGCCAGCTGGACAACAATGACAACTGCAACAAAAAAATAGCCAGGTGTTATGGTGGGCACCTGTAGTCCCAGCTACTTGGGAGGCTGAGGCAAGAGAATGCTTAAGCCCAAGAGTTAGAGATTGCTGTGAGCTGAGACATCATGGCATTCTACCAAAGGCGATATAAGTGAGACTTTGTCTCAAAAAAAGAAAAAAATATTGTTTTTGATGTCAGGAAATTAGACTAAGATATTATTTTCATGTGCTCACAATTCTTAAAAAAGGCTGAAGTAGTATGTATAAAAATTAATTTTACGATTAGGAATAATAGATATTTATTTAATGTTAGTTGGTAACAATATATTATCCACAGGATAATGTTCAAAGTTCTTAATTTTTCATTGGTTGACATTAATTGGAATTCTACCTTCAGGTTTTAAGTTCATAATATCTTTAGTATGTATTTGTGAAAACTACAAATGGCTATATTTGTCACTATAGACTTATTAGGAAATAAATAAAACAAGTTTCTTAGATATGAAACTGGGTAATGGAAATAAAATGGAAGCTAAGTTCATAATAGCTAATGATAGCTGTCAGAAGATAATTTTTTTTCTCAGAGACAGGGTCTCACAGTGCTTTCCAGGCTGGTCTTGACTGCCTCACCTGGAGTGATTCTATTGCCTCTGCCTCCTAAATTACTGGGATTACAGGCACCAGCCAATATACCTGCACAGAAAATAATTTTTTTAAATGATATAATCATAACTTTCATACAGAAATAAAATGAACACATCAAAATTTTCATGTAACTCATCAAATAATGAGGGAACCAGTAAGATGTTACAATCAGTTCTAAAGAGTATTCAAAGTACCAGACGCAGATATAGGCAGTGGCTCAAAGGAGTAGGGGTCCGGCCCTATATGCTGGAGGTGGGGGGGTGGGTGTCAAACCCAGCCCTGGCCAAAAACTGCAAAAAAAAAAAAAATGCATAAATAATCTGCCTAATAGATGTGATGGGCAAAACTGGTCACCATCCATAGAATAATAATCAACTGAATTTCCACTGAACACAATTTGCACATTTATGAACAGGAATAATTTGCATTGCTGTCAATATTCCACACTTACAGAGTTGTAAAATAGCTCAAAGATAATGAAAGATGCAAAGACCTCATAGAAACAAATAATTGGGACATTTCCATTAATGACACCCAGCAATATTTTTGGTCCATTTGAAAAATTTTTTTATAATGTTTTCCCTACATGAAGGACTTGTGTTGGGTGCTTACTACAGGCAAGGCACTGTCTTGGGTGTCTTAGATATATTAACTCATTTAACTCTTACAATAACCTTATAGGGTAGGTGTTATTATCATCTTCCTTTTACAGGTGAGAAAACTAAGACACAAGAAAAGGCAGGTAGGTCACTCAAGATCATAGGATAGTAGGAGGTAGAGCCAAGATCTGATTACAGGTAGTTTTGCACTAGGTATCCTGCTGTGGATATACAAAGAAAAAGAGTTAATAGGGTCTGACCAGTTAGATTACATTAGCTATAGAAGAGGGAAGAGGTAAAGATGACTTTGAAGTGCTGCCACTGGTTGATTTTGACACTGTCCAAATAAATAAAAAGACTAAAAAGAGGAGTTAGTTTAATTTGGTTTTTAGACATAGAGACTTTGAAGTAATGGCAAGATGTCTAGATGGAAAAGTGTAGTTGGACAGTAGGTAAGAATTAGAAATGTGGATATGTGAATTTTTTCTTTTTATGGAGCAGGTTTGAAATGGGTATTGAGAATACTCATAAGCGTCTGTCAGAGCTAACAGATAGAAAGAAGCCTGGAGGGAAGAGAGGATGTTGTAAGGAGGGACTGTGGTCTGCATAAGGTGAAAAGAGGCAATCTTGAGGGAGTAAAACCAAAATTGGGTGAATTGGTTAGAGTTCTTAGGTCTAGACCAGTGGTACTCAACCTTCTTAATGCCAGGGCCCTTTAATATAATTCCTGTGGGTCGTGATCCACAGGTTGTCTGCTGGTCTAGACAAAGTGCTCTCTTTTGGGTTTAAGCAGAAACATGAAGTTGGAGTCACAATGGCAAATGACCAGTGTTGAGGCACAAAGGGAAACAGAGGCCACATAATGGAGGAACTGTACAGAAGCACAGTAAAGGCTGTCAAGTAGGGAAAGGCCATGATCAGATTTTTAAAAGAACAGTCTTCCTGAAACATTGGGCAAATCTGGATGCAGGAATATCCAGGCATTAGGCAGCTAGTAGCTTGGACCAGGCCAGTGGTGGCAACTAGATATGACTCTAATAATTGAGGGCCTGAGGGTAAGAGTATGAAAGGAGGCCAACACACCATGTGAACAAATATTTAAAAGTTAGAAATCAAGGTAGTAGCAGTAAACTGTCACAAACTCTACCCTCTTGCCTTGATAAATACATCTTTATAAGGACCTGGTAGTTAAGGTTTAAGGAAGAAGTTTAACTCCCTAGAGTTCCATGCTGGATCTCAGAAGTCTGGACAAGCAGACCTATACCTTGCCCCATACCCTTCCTCCCCAGAAAAGACTAATATTTTGAATGTTTGAATCTTATCTGACTTCTTATTATTTATGTGAGTCCAGGCACTTCATCTTTAATAGTTTTTTAAGACAGAGTGTCAAGCTGTCACCCTGGGTAGAGTGCTGTTGTGTCACAGCTCACAGCAATCTCCAGCTCTTGGGCTTAAGCAATTCTCTTTCCTCAGTCTCCCAAGTAGCTGGGAGTACAGGCGCCTGCCACAACGCCTGGCTATTTTTTTGGTTGTAGTTGTCATTGTTTGGCAGGCCTGGGCTGGATTGGAACCCGCCAGCTCCAGGGTATGTGGCTGGAGCTGAGCTACAGGCACCCAGCCCATCTTCAACAGTTTTTAAGGGACTGGCATTAGGGAAAAAGCAGGAAACAAAACAATGACCCTGCCATCATAGTAATTATAGTGTAGTGAGAGAAACAATCAACAAACAGGTTAGCTACAGGTAGGATTGGTGATGGCTCAAGGCTTTGCTTATGTCCGGGATCTTTGTGTTTTTCTCCTGGAGGTGTGAGGTAGCCAGTGGTGCAGTGGTTGTTTGGTGGTGCTGGAGCTCAGAAAACAATACCCCAAATGAAGGTCTCAGACATAGTCTAAAAAGCAAGCTTTTCTCTGACCTTCTCCCGCCCTCCTGTATTAGTACCATTCTCCCCCAGGCTAGCCACAGAAACTAGAATCCCTCTTCTCCAAGGCAGATCATAAAACCAGAACCTCATTTCCCCAAAGCCAGCCAGAAAACCTAAAAAATATTACTCTAATTTCCCCCTCATCTTTCTGTAGAAAAGGGGTCATAAAAAATGTACCTGATCGGCTCGGCGCCTATAGCTCAACGGGCTAAGGCGCCAGCCACGTACACCTAAGGTGGCGGGTTCGAATCCCCAGCCCGGACCCGCCAAACAACAATGACGGCTGCAACCAAAAAAAAAAAATGGCCGGGCGTTGTGGCGGGCGCCTGTGGTCCCAGCTACTTGGGAGGCGGAGGCAGGAGACTCGCTTGAGCCCAGGAGTTGGAGGTTGCTGTGAGCTGTAATGCCACGGCACTCTACCCAGGGGGACAGCTTGAGGCTCTGTCTCAAAAAAAAAAAAAAAAAAAAAATGTACCTGATCTACCTTGAGAGCGTCTTGCTCTATATCCCAAAGGAAGGAATACGTGCTCAGAGAGACCAAGATGAATCTAGATACACAGGCCTTGCTAGGTTTCCCCGATTCAGTTCATCGTATCCTATTATATCCTTTTCGTCCAGTCGTATTTATACACAGCTGTCCATACTTCATTGACCCTAAACATAAAGACTGGCAATCCCCTGTATTTTGGGGTCTTCATTCTAAAAACTCTCATGTATACACGTTACATTTTTATGCCGTTCTTCCAATTAATCTGCCTCTTGTCAGTTGATTTTTTAGCGAAATTTCAGAGGGCAAAGGGGAAGTTTCTCCCGGGGCCCCTAGGGTTCACCCATGCCTGGGCATCTAGCTATGGTAAACTTCCAGTGCTTCTGAGTCCAAAGTGCCAAGGGCGACCCTGTTGAGAAACAGTACAACGCGTTCTGCTCTCAAGGGATATCGGGGTTAGCAGGACGCAAAGCGGCAGTTATTTTTTCAGAAGCCGGCGGCGTCCAGCACTTCTGGCAGGCGTTTGGGTGCGCTTAGAGGGCTGAGAAGACCGGGCGGGGTCATCCGGACGTAGGCGCGGCTTTCCGGGAACCCAGGCCACAGAGCAGCCGGCAGCGTAGATGCAGAGGACCACAGCGACACCTGGCTCTTCTTCCAGCAAAGGCCCCTCCCCGGCTACCGGCGACTGAGAGGCGGGCGGCGGGGCGACCTGCGGGGGCGTGGCCGCGCGCGGATGGCGCGGGGTCGAAGGGCACGGGTGTCATGGCGGCCTCCACGCTGGGCTCGGCCTGGGGCCCCCTGCGGCTTGGCATCTGGGGTCTGTGCCGCCGCCGGCCACCCCGGGGTCTGTGCGCGCGCGTGCGGCGGCTGCCTGGGCCCACACTGTCCAGCCGCAGTGTGGCTGCGGCCAGCGGACCGGGTGCCTTGGGCACCGACCACTACTGCCTGGAGCTACTGCGGTGAGCAAGCCCGGGCTGCCCCGGGGGAGGTCGAGGAACGGGGTGTCTGGGTGGTCGCAGTTAGAATTGGTGTCCGGCCCGCGCCAGCGGACACGCGCCTTCCTCGCGACTCGGGGTGTGCGTTCCGGTGGGCTCCGCGTGCGGGTGAGCCCAGAGTGCCAACAGTAAGGTACCAGGGACGTTCACAGGGGCCAATGAATTTGGGCATCATTCTTTCGTCTGCCTAGACTTGTCACCTTGCCTGAACTTTAATTTTTTAACCTCATTTTACGTTTTTGCGTGTATTATCTTTTTTATTCGTCTAGTTATTTTAATAATAATAGCTAATTTTGAGTTCTTTCTCTGTGTCTCTTACTATGCAAAATAGTTTACAAGTAATTTATTTAATCCTATTGCAAATTGTGACTGATAAGCGTAGATCTACCATTTAGGGTTGTGAGTATTAAAGCATTTAGAACAATGCCTGGCACATGGTAAGGGCATAGTGAATGCAACATGTCACGTTACCTCAGTTAATAGAAAAGGAAACAGGGTTTTATAGTGATTAGGGAATTTGCCTGAGGTTTACTGGAATAGCCTCAAGCTGTCGGGTTTGAAGTGTTTTGTTGTCCTGCTTAGTGCTGGGAAGGCCTGGGACTTGGGAGTCTGTCCTTCATCATTTGTGGAGGTGGGTTGGATCCGCCAAGTCACCTGGTTCTTTCCGACCGGGCTTTACTTGGAATCTGGGTCTGGTGGCTGAAACCAATGACTTAGCCTGGCTGCCCTTCTGCAACCTTTGATCTCAAAGTACCTGGTCTTAAGCACTTCTCAAAGTACTATCATAGAATACTTAAACCACCTTGAACTTGACAGAGCAAGTAAGTACAATTTTTTTGAATTACATTTAAGTAAAAAGTAGCATAACAAAATACATGTATTTCAGTGTTGTAATCACTTCTTAACAATTTTGTTTCTTCACCACCTTATTTGTTGATTATTTATGGGAGAACAAGGCAGCAATAGCGAAAAGGCACTAAAAACCTGTAAGAGCCAAAACTACTAACTTGTATTATTTTTATTTATTTTAAAATTATTTTTTGATGACAAACTCATATCCACTAGTGTTATAACTTTTCCCTCCAGAGAAAATTTCTTACATATTCTTCCAGTGATAGCCTATGATGGATTTACAAATATTTAAGAACATAATTCTTTATTTTTAATTCACTCACATGCTAGGTTTTCTTAACTATATATACTATATTTGCAAATGGCTAGGTACTTAACCTGCCCATGTTGTTACTTGTGTGGAGTAGAGGCTCTTCCAGGCGTCCTCAAACTCCAGCTGGCTGGACACATGCGGCTGGCCAGGTGTTTTTGTCGCTGCTGCCTGTCCTGCTTAGCAGCCGACTTGTCCTGGGGCCCGCAGTCCGGCCCTCCAATGGTCTGAGGGACAGTGAACTGGCACCCTGTTTAAAAAGTTTGAGGACCCTTCTTGACTAATGATTTAACAAATAAGAAATAGTTTTTAAAATACAAATGAAACTTGAAAGTAAGATTAGAACTTCTGCCTTCTGTCCATCAACAATCTCTGCAAGATTTGGCCTCTGAGATTGTGCAGGATTATTTTGGACATCCATCTTTTGCAAGTCCTCCGAATATCAGGAAAAATACCAGGCCATGACTTCAGGTTAGTCATCCTCACTCTAGGTTCCTGGGAAAATCTCAGATCTAATTTACCTAGGCTTCTTGGAGTTTTGTTTTGCTTAGAGTAAGCAAGGGGCCTCAGGCTATAGTGAGGAGGGGAGGAAGTAGCAGTGGTGGTGTTGAGTGCACTCATGTCATTCACCCTATTAGGGAGCCACTTTTTCCTTGGCACAGGTTTGTTGTTTTTTTTTTTTTTTTTTGCTGTCAATAAAGAAATTTACTTTTTTTTTTTTTTTTTTTTTTGAGCCAGAACCTCAAGCTGGATAGAGTGCTGTGGCATCACAGCTCCTAGTAACCTCTAACTCCTGGGCTTAAGCGGGTTTCCTGCCTCCATCTCCCAAGTTGCTGGGACCAGAGGCAACTGCCACAAGACCTGGCTATTTTTTTTGGTTGCAGCCATCATTGTTGTTTGGTGGGCGCGGGCTGGATTCGAACCTGCCCCCTTAATTGTACGTGGCTGACCCTTAGCCACTTGAGCCACAGGCGCCCGAGCCGAAATTTACTTGTTTTAAAAAAATCCAAATGTTGGCATTGTCCAGAAACACTTAACAGGTTTATTTTTAATTGTTATAAAGTTGAACTGCTGAAACTTGTTCACTGAAAAATTTTGACTCGCATTAATGCTGTACATCCCCGCATTTTATATCAAAAATTCACACACAAATGAAAATGGAAAAACTGCCAGTACCTGATTTCTGTCTCCTATTTTTCTAGTCGCAATCATATACTTTTGACTCCATGGGGGAAAAAAAATCTAACATTCAGAACTACCAATAACAGGAAGAAGATAATTTTTTTTTTTTTTTTGATAATGAAATGTTTTCCCATCATAGTGGACTCCGAAGCACGTTCTTCATGTATGCAACGTGCTGGCTGGATGTCTTTTGCCATTATTGTTACACGTTTAGCATGGATAGCACACAGGTTGGTGTCTTTAAAAAGGCCAGCCAGATAGGCCGGCCTCCCTTGCCTCCCTCAAAGCCCCAGTAGCTGCACTCTGGAAGCACAGATCTGTCTTAAAGTTCTGAGCAATTTCTCACACCAGACGCTGGAAAGGAAATTTGCGAATCAGAAGTTCAGTGGACTTCTGATAACGTCTTATTTCACGGAGTGCCACCATACCAGGCCTGTAGCGATGAGGTTTCTTCACCCCTCCAGGAGAGGACGCACTCTTGCGAGGGGCTTTTGTAGCCAGTCGCTTTTTCTGGGTGCTTTACTACTGGTGGATTTGTGCGCAGTCTGCTTTGTACGAGCCATGGTATAAAGACCTCCTTACTTACTCCACTTCTCTTTTGGTTGGAGCTCGTCGAGCTAGAGGCAAGGCTGGCATTAGACAGCGACAGCGGCTCTACGGAGGCTGCGAACCGAAGGCACAGGTTCTCGATACTAGTACGGTAGTCTTGACACTCTGTGCTTGTTTCTCATGTGTGTGCCTCTCCCTACTAGATTGAAGTTGGTACCTATCATCAGTGTCTAGCACAGTGCCTGGCACTTAGTAGGCACTGAATAAATGTTAGAATGACTGAGAGGTTATTTGCCCTATTGCTGTATAATGCACATGGCCTTTCTCACTATCTGGGACAGCTCTTAGGTAGGTGGACCTGGGTCAGATACTTAGGCTGTCCTTGTAGATAGTCTAAAAATAGATGTTTGTAACAATGATCCCGAGTGATGGTGAAATGGTTAAATAGTATGTCCTGTTTAATGTGATGAAGGAGTTTTTCTATTGGTTAGAAAAATTTCCATCCAAAAGTAAAAAGAAATGTTAACAGGACAAAGCCTTAGCTGGGTAGAATTATCTTATTTCCCAAATGTTGCTACGGTTGTGTTATATCTTCCTTTTGTTATTTATTTCCGTGTAAAAAGCTTTAAGTACTTCCCATATTGGTTCTTTCTAGGAGCTTAACATAACATAGGTTATCCAGTTTCTTTTTGCAAACTGGGAAATAGACATGAGTCTATCAGTAACTGGTTGAGTGATGGAATTAAAAGGTTGTCATTTGAATTCCCATCAGTGTTTTCCTCACTGTTTCGTGTTAACTTCAAGTTTTTTAAATACTTTTGAAGCTCAGAGACTTTTTATAGTAAAATAAAATTTAAAGACATAAACTATAGTCCTGCTTTGCCGTCACAGTCTCTTAGAAATCTGCATATCGATGTCGCAGAAGTGCTGTCTTGCATTTTTTACCGTGTATCATGTCAGGAAGCATGTGACATTGATTTGTCCTATTGTGATGTTAACTGTTTATTACTTGGTTCAGAAGGTTTTCCAGTTTTCTTTTTTCACATTTGATTTAGAAGAGTGTTAGTGAGACACTTTGTGGGGAGATACTTTAATACTATGTAAATATCCTATTTCCATCAAACTTTCACGTATTTAACATTTTCAGGCATTTATTGATTTTTTTTTTTTTTTTTTGAGACAGAGTCTCACTTTGTCATCCTGGGTAGAATGCTATGGCATCGTCATAGCTCATAGCAACCTCAAACTCTTGGGCTAAAGTGATCTTGCCTCCCAAGTAGCTAGAACTACAGGCGCCTACCACAGGTTTGGCTCTTTTTATTATTAATTTATTTTTTGAGACTCACCATGTTGCCCTCGATAGAGTACTATGGAGTCGTAGCTCACAGCAACCTCAGACTCTTGAGCTTAAGCGATTCTCTTGCCTTAGCCTCCTCACTACCAGTGCCCAGCTAGTTTGTTGTTGTTGTTGTTGTCATTGTTGTTTAGCACAGGTGCTGAGCCACCCAGCTCTTTTTGGAGATAGAGCTGCACTCTTGCTCAGGCTGATCTTGAACTCCTGACCTCAAGCAATCCACCCACCTTGGTCTCCCAGAGTGCTAGGATTACAGGTGTGAGCCTGACCCCTTTACTGATGATTTTTGCACAAATCAGTTATTAACATGATAGTTACCAAATGATGATCTTTAAAAATTCCATTCTGTTTTCTAGATTTATTAGTAGACATTATACCAGTTATCAAGCTTTTCCTTCTCCTCCCATTTATTTCTTCATTAATTTATATCAGTATGTGTTGATAGAGTTCTGGTAAGCTGTTACTATCATTTTTTGGTGCTGAAATTCCTACAGACTTGGCCAGTGAGAACTCTGTCAGGCCAGTTTTCATGAACTTTTGGTAAGTCCCTGCCATACCTTAAATAATTTTTTTACCTTCTGCACCAGAAAATGTTTCAGGCTTATCTTGTATTTTTCCTGCTCCACCTCTGGAGTCAGTCATTCCTCCAAGGAGCCTTAGTTTTCCTCAGTGGAGATTGGTTTTAGAAACCAAGATCTAGACTCAGCACCTATAGCTCAAGTGGCTAAGGTGCCAGCCACATAACACCAGAACTGGTAGGTTCGAATCCAGCCCGGGCCTGCCTAACAACAATGACAACTACAACCAAAAAATAGCTGGGTGTTGTGGCGGGCACCTGTAGTCCTAGCTACATGGAAGGCTGAGGCAAGAGAATCACTTAAGCCCAGGAGTAGGAGGTTACTGTGAGCTGTGATGCTGTGGCACTCTACTCAGGGTGATAAAGTAAGATTCTGTCTCTTAAAAAAAAAAAAAAAAAAAAAGAAAGAAAGCAAGATCTAGGTGCTAGTTGTGTTCATTGAAATTGGGGGAGAGCATTGCTTCTAGGCTCTTTCTGCAGATTCCGCTAGGAAATGTGCTCACACACCCCTGTATCAGTTTCTGTGTCTTATCTCTTTGTCTTTTTATGTATCTCTCTGTATACTAAGGACCATGAGTTCACACCAATACTTGCTTGAACTATTTTCTTAACTTGATTTCTACTTTTGTAGCTAACATTTGAATTCTTACTAAAGCCAATGTGATTCTGAAACAGCTAAAAGTATTCTATAAGTACTATATAATTCAATTTAAATTAATGGAGATTGAGCATTTCATTTTTAGGTGGTCTAGGATTGGGAGCAGACACATTTTTGTAATCGTAGAAGAACAGGTCTAGAAGATAAGAAATGTTAGGTCTATTCTGAAATTGCTTTCAGTTAATTCTGGTCAGTATTTTTGTGTGTAGTTTGGAAAGTGAGGGGTAACTATCTTTCTTTGTCTATTTGTTATAGGAAACGAGATTATGAAGGTTATTTATGCTCCCTGCTGCTCCCTGCAGAATCCCGAAGCTCTGCTTTTGCACTGAGGGCCTTCAATGTGGAACTGGCTCAGGCTGGTATTAAGATATCTTAAAATATTATTTGAGAAGTGGTGATGTAATGTTTTTAATGCTGAACAAAAAGGAAATGTAGTTGTAATTTGTAGGTTAGATGGGTTAAAGGTCCTCTGCTGGTGATTTCCTTCTCTTGCTAACAACTTAGGCTTAACAATTAAGTACCAAAAATAAAACTAGCTAATGAACTTAATGTTTCTGGAACTGCCATCTTAGGATTTTTTTATTTCTTTTTCTGAGGATATTATAAAACTATGCATTAACATTGCACATTTATCCATTAATTGAATGGGTTAATCAGAATATTACTGCTTATTCTCTCTAGCAATTGCATAATTTGTATGTATATAGCAATTCTTCAAAGCACTTTTTAAAATGAGGTTTTAGTTTTAATGTGAATCAGGAATGGAAATAGTTATAGCAGCCTCCAATCAGTTCATACTGACTCACTTGATCTAAGAATTACAAAGGAAGGGGATATCCTTCTTTTCTTTTTTTTTAGAATGGAAAGAACATATGCAGATATAAAATAAATCAAAGTGGGGGTTCAGATGAGGACGTTTAAGTAGAATGGCCTTGGTCTTCTCTTTAAATTAAATGGAAAGGTCGGATATTAAGAGTGAGGGGGCAGGAGAGGGCTTGGAGTCTTAAAAAAGAGTGGCAAGTTTTGGCACAGCTTCTCTGGAGAATATGATAGAGGTGAACAAAGAACAAATAAAAGGATACAAATATAGCACTGGGGCACAACTGAGGGTCACAACCGTGAATCCGTGGAGAGTCTATAGGACTGTCTATTTTTTCCTCTGGTGTATTCCTAGAAGTCATGGGTCATAGTTTTCACCTCATCCTTTTACAGGTATAAACTATATGTCAGCATCTGAAGTCAGTCACACTTTAGCCATAGCAGTTCCCAATGTGGTCTTCTATTATGCCCTGTTTCCCTGAAAATAAGACCTACCCCCAAAATAAGCCCTAGCAAGATTTCTAAGCATTTGTTAAATATAAGCCCTACCCGGATAATAAGCCCTACCCTGCCATGCATTTCATTGTGGAGTGGTAAGGAAGACTGGAATGCCATTTATCTGCCACAGCTCCTTTCTCCCAGCTGTTCACACTTGTGTGGGTGTGCATGTGGTAACCCTGGTCACAGGCATCCTATTGTGCACGTGTGAACGGCTAGGGGAAAGGAGTTCACGCATCACTAGCGCCAGCCCCACCAACAAGGTCGGCTCCCCCTGTCAGGTTCCAGAAGATGACTTAACTGTATTTGAATAAGTGTAGATTGTTGTATTATACTTAATAAAATAAGACATCCCCTGAAAATAAGCCCAAGTGTGTCTTTTTTTTAAAAAAACACCACAGAGTTGCCCCTGAATTCTCTGTCACTTGTAGGAGTATCTTGCTCCTCTGTACTCACTGTCTTGTTTATTCAGGCATTTAACAGTGAGTGAGTGTACAAAATATGCTAGACACTGTTTTACATCCTGGGGGTATAATGATGAATAAAATGTACAAATTCCTGGCACTCAGTGAACAATAAAGATGGAGACAAGTGCTGTGGAGAAAAATAAAGCTTGTTAGGGGGACAGGGAAGGCTGCCTGCAGCCAAGGTTCCTTTTTTATACAGCACGGTCTGGAGAAACATCACTGGGAAGGTGGCTTTAGAGCAAAAATTTGCAAGAAGGTGAGGGAGTGGGTCATATAAGTACGTGCAGTGTTTTAGGCAGAAGAAACCACAAGTGCAAAGGCTCTGAGGTGCAGATCTGGGTACGCCTAATGTGTTCAAAGGACAGAGGGCCAGTGCGGTGTAGCAGGGAGTATGGGGTGAGATTAGGGTAGGGTACCTGGGGCAGAAGCTTAAAGCTGAGTGAGATGGTCAGCCATAGGAGGGCTCTGAGCAGAGAGGGACCTCACTTCTTGGTCAGGTTTTCAGAGGATTTCTCTTGCTGCTGTGTTGCTGTGTTGTATGCCTCTGGGACCTGAACACTAAACATTGCTAAGAAACCCACTCTGCACCAGGAACTTTTTTTTTTAAATGAGAGACCACATTGGGAACTGTTTGATTTTATTTAAAAATAATTTCGCACACAGAAAAGTAAGGATAGTACAAAGAATACCCATAGACCCTTTTGTTATTTTACCCTGTTTCCTTTATCGTTCTGTCAAATATGTACATATTTATGAATCATTTAGAGTAACTTGACTACACCACGGTTCTTTTCCCTGTAAACTTGAGAGTGTATTTCCTAAGAATAGGGTATTCTCTTATGTAACCACAGTACCATTATGAAGGAGTAAATTTAACACTGATATAATACTTTTATTTGATCTACTGTCTGCTTTGTAGTTTTGTCAAGTGACCCAATAATAAATATTCCTATGGTATTTCTATCCTTATGTATTGGATTCGATCTAGGATCGTGTACTACGTATAGTATTTAGTTTTCACGTCTTGTTAGCCTCCTTTAATCTGTAACATTTCTACAGCCTTTCTTTGTCTTTTGTGACGTTGACATTTTTAAAGCAATACAGTTCCTTTTTAAAATTTAGGATAGTTCTCATTCTAGGGTTTATTTTCTTTTTCATAATGATTATATTAAAGGTATAGATTCCTAACCTAATATTACCTAAGTGGTGTGTGTCCTTTTCAGAGAGTCTCAAGGAGGCATGAAATGTTCATCTGCCTTTCTGTGGTAATGTTAATTTTGGTCATCCAGTTACGATGTTAATATTTTTTTTCCTTGCTACTAATCAGCAGTCTGTGAGGTGACATTTTAGAGACCATGGTCCTTATCAAAATTTACCGCCTTGGTTTAGCTTGCATTGACAATTTTTGTCTCAACCTAAGAAGGCCATTCCTAATTAGTAGTGGTTGAAGAAGACAATCTAATCTTCTTTTAAAAATTAATGAATGAATGAGTTTATTTCCGTGTACATACAGTAAAATTCACTTTGTTGTGTATGGTTCTGAAAAGTGTATTCACCACCATAGTCATGATACAGGACAATCCTATTAACTCAAAAATTCTTTCAAAAATACTGATTTTGGGGACTGGAAGCAGTGTATTTGTTAAAATTTTTAAACCTTATTTACAGGTTAAGGACTCAGTCTCTGAGAAAACAATTGGACTAATGCGTATGCAGTTTTGGAAAAAAACTGTGGAAGATATATACTGTGACAATCCGCCACATCAGCCTGTGGCCATTGAACTATGGAAGGTAAAAAAATAAAAGCTGCTTTTATTTTGTAAGAATATTATTTGGGCTTACTTTTTGATGGATATGGTTTGGATAGTAGTGATTATAGTGGAAACTATCCTGAAAAGATTCTTTTTTTTTTTTGGAGACAGACTCTTACTGTGTCATCTTCAGTAGAGTGCTGTGACATCATAGCTCACAGCAACCTCAAATTCTTGGACTCAGGAGATCTTCTTGCCTCAGTCTCCCAAGTAGTAGGTGCCTGCTATAACACCCCGCTATTTTTAGAGATGAGTCTTGCTCTTGCTCAGCCAGGCAATCTATCCGCCCCTTGGCCTTTCAGAGTGCTAGGATTATAGGTATGAGCCCCCATCGATGAACTTTTGGTATTAGGGAACAGAAACGTATGGGCTAGAGTATTATTTATATAGCTAGATGCATATTAGCAGATGGTTTTTGTTAAAATAGCTATGTGGATTTCTTCATTCACAAATAGCCAAGCATGGTTTAGAAATATGCTAACCTATGAACAGAGGAAGGGAATTAGGTGCCTTTTGTCGCTGATCTGTGTCCCCATTGTAATACGATGGTTGCCAGAAGAGGGTTTCTGTAACAGGAGCCACCCCCGGACCTGACAGCAGTACACCTCTTCTCAGGTCTGCGCACGAGCAGAGGCAGGTTCACAGAACCCCAATAAAGATGGGAAGCCAGACCCCTCTCCCCCGCCAGGGACTGAGAAGAAAAAGTGGCTGGGAAGCTGTGAGTATTAGATCAGTTCTTTACCTCTATTCATCCTATTTCTAGAAGCTCAACCTAGTGACTCAGTAAAAAGTTTCTCTAAAATCCAGAAACCCTTTCTATTTATTATTTTACACACAAACCTGACTGTAGTGGAGCTTTATGTTAAGACTTAGATCAAGGGCAGCACCTGTGTCTCAAAGGAGTAGGGCACCGGCCCCATATGCTGGAGGTGGTGGGTTCAAACCCAGCCCCAGCCAAAAACTGTAAAAAACAAAAACAAACAAGACTTAGATCAAAGATTCTGGCCTTTAGAATACATGTGAAAATATAGTGGAATATTGGAGGTTCCTTTAATGCAAATTTATCTTTCCTTGGTTTCACTTACAAAACCAAAAGATACATGTACAACTAAATTATGAAATGTTTATGTATGTGCTGATTTAGGATTGCCAAGTAGCCCAGTTTTAATAGCTGCTTAAATTTTGATGATTAATGTAGCTAGCTTTCTGATATGACCAGTGTTGAAGGTTAATATGAATATTTGAAGGAAGCAGGTGGTATTCAGAGCTGTTGTTCTCACTGTGTGTTCTCATCCCTCCCTATTCTGCTGGAGTGTATTCTTACTATGACTCCAGTAAAGTTTCCCATTGGTTCTTTGAAGACTATTGAGTTAGTTCTTTATAAGATTAAATATGGAGAACAATGACAGTGTGTTACCTAGAGAGCACTATTTCACTATACAGTTTAATTGGTATTTTCAGGGTATAAAATAGTTGAATATTTATAATTTTTCATTCTTCCATATGGGTTTTCTGTTTCTCTATTTATAAATTTTAGCTACAATTTGAATTTATGTTTATAGGCAAGGTTTTTCTTCTTTTTGGCTGCATTTTCCAGAGTCAGTACTTTATTAAGCAGATTTCCAACTTTTTTTTTTTATTGTTGAGGATTCATTGAGGGTATAAGAAACCAGGGTACACTGATTACATTTGTTAGGTAAAGTCCTTCTTACAATTGTGTCTTGCCCCCCAAAAGTGTGGCACACACCAAGACCCTGCCCTCTCCCTCCTTCCCTCTCACTGGTCTTCCTTTCCCCCCACTCACTCCCTCCTTCTTTCTCTCTCTGCTGTCCCCTTCCCCACTCCCACTGTGCCATTAATTGTCCTCGTATCAAAATTGAGTACATAGGATTCGTGCTTCTCCATTCTTGTGATGCTTTACTAAGAATAATGTGTTCCACTTCCATTCAGATTAACACAAAGGCTGTAACGTCTCCGTTTTTTTAATGGCTGAATAGTATTCCATGGTGTACATATACTTACTTTGATCTCTGATTTCCTTCAGAATCAAACAGAACTGTATTTTGTAGTTAAGGAACTACAGCCAGTATAGCTTCAGCTATGGGTAAATAGGAGTTGGTTTCTCATTGAGAAAATATTGAATACTTTTTTTTTTTTTTTTTGAGACAATCTCAAGCTGTTGCCCTGGGTAGAATACTGTGGTGTCACAGCTTACAGCAAACCTCCAACTCTTGGTTTTAAGCAGTTCTCTTGCCACAGCCTCCCAAGTAGCTGGGACTACAGGCGCCTGCTACAACGCCCAGCTATTTTTCTGTTGCAGTTGTCCTTGTTGTTTTACCTGGCCCAGGCCAGGTTCAAACCCACTAGCCTTGGTGTACATGGCTGGTGTCCTACCCACTGAGCTACGGGCACCACCGATATTGAGTACTTTTATGTGCCAGGAATGGTACTTGATGGTCTGGTTACAAAGATCAGTCATGCCCAGTCCACATTTAGACACAGGTGAGATAAAATAGGAGCAGGAGTCTCTAGTGACTGATAGGCTGATTCCTGGGATTTAGGGAAGAGGCCTGATGGGAGAGCCCTGCGATAGTGGTAATGCTGAGAGCACTTTGGAGCTAATTCTGTGTAGCCTTCTTAGTTAGGTTCCAGTGTAGGCCAACAGCCAGTGTAGGTGCTGTTCTCCATGCTTACACCCTTGTCACATAAATACATATTGAAGTATGTTAGCCTTTACATTATAGTATCAGTGATATCTGAGAGTCTTAGCTGAAGTACAGGCTATCCCTAAGACTTTTATGTTTCCCTACTATATTTATTTATCGTGAAAATGTATTATGCTGTACTTTGTGTTAACATGGCAAAAAACCAGTGGTTTTAAAACTTCTTTGGAAATAATTTCATACTTTCAGAAAGGTTACACAGAATTAAAAGTGGCATAAAGAACACCTCTAATCCTTTACCCAGATTCACGGTTGTTAATGTTTTATTCATTTGTTTAATCATTTGTGCACATTCACTCACATGTGTCCTCTCTCCTTCTCCCCCTACCCTTTCTCTCTCGATATATATGTATATATATTTATGTTTATAATTTTTTTTCTGACTCATTTATAAGTTAAATATGTTATGGCCCTATCCTACAAATGTCAGTGAATATTTTATACGGATAGGTATATTCTCTTGGATAACCAGAACAAGTATTAATTATAGTAAATTTAACTTTTATACCATACTTTTATCAAATTTTCCATTCATTTTCCAATTTTGTTAGATGACCTAATTGTCTGCTATAGCATTTTTCCTCTCCAGTATTGGATCCTGTCTTGGACCAGGTATTTAATGGTCATATCTCTTTAGTTTTATTTATTTATTTATTTATTTATTTTGAGATAGAGCCTCAAGCTGTCCCCCTGGGTAGAGTGCTGTGGCATCACAACTCACAGCAACCTCCAACTCCTGGGCTCAAGCGAGTCTCCTGCCTCAGCCTCCCAAGTAGCTGGGACCACAGGCGCCCACCACAACGCCCAGCTATTTTTTGGTTGTAGCCATCATTGTTGTTTGGCGGGCCCAGGCTGGATTCGAACCCACCACCTTAGGTATATGTGACTGGTGCCTTAGCCACTTGAGCCATAGCTGCCGAGCCAGTTTGTTTTAATATGGAACATTTCCATAGCTTTTCTTTGTCTTTCATGACATTGACCTTTGTGAAGACTGTAACTCCCTACTTTTATTTTTATAGAACACTCATTTTGGATTTGTCTGACATTTTCTCCTGATTCAGGTTATGGATTCTTGGCTGGAATACTTCATTGGTAACATGTCCTTCTCAGGGTATCACACTTAGAGGCACACTTTGTCCAACTCTACTGGCATTGTTAATTTTGATCACCCAGTCAAGATTTTGCCTGGTTTTCCACTGTAGAGTATACTTTGCCTTGCAATCAATCATCCTTCTTTGGGGAGATACTTTACAACTATGCACTTTTCCTGTTCCTCCATCAAAATTTCTCCCTAAACTTAGCTGCCGTGATGGTTCTTGTCTGATTCAGTCACTACTGTTATGGTTGCAAGATGATAACTTCTCAGTTTAGCATTTTTCTGTAAGAACGAGTTCTCCCTCCCCTATATTTATTTACTTGTTAAATATTAGCGTGGACTTAAGAATTTCCTGTTTTTTTCTAATAGTTTATTTTTATTTATTTTTTAATAGAAATAACTAGCACAGAATTTTATTTAATTTTTATTTGTTTTTTTGAGAGACAGGCCCTCATTCTGTCACCCAGACTGAGAACCTTGGCACTGTCATAGCCCACTGTAACCTTGAACTTCTGGGCTCAAGGGATCCTCTCACCTTAGCCTCCCAGAGTACTGGGTTACAGGCATGAGCCATCATGCCTGGCCTCCTAATAGTTTATAATTCATTCATGTACATAATTATTTTGGTGTTCAAATTGTCCCTGATCTGAGCAGTGAAATCTCCTTCAAACTGGTTCCTATGTCCTGTGACATGCCTTCATTACTTTTTGGAGCACTTTGTTATTTTCTGGGACAGTAAGATGCAAGGATCATCTTGAATCTTCCCCTTCTTCCCCTCCTCTGAGATCTGTGGAGCCTGATTTCTTTGGGGGGGAGTGATAGTAGAGAGGAGGGTCTGGGGTGACTTTGCTAAGACAGTTTATTCTGCAGATTATTTTTGTTGGAGCTTTACTTTTTTCATTTTCAGAGAAGTAGTTGTTTTTGCTAAATAGAATCTTTATTTTGTGGAAAAGGTTTTGTGTGTACTAAGTCAGTATAGAAGTCAGGGTGTGTCATATAATACAGAAGCTCAGTATTCTTATTTTTTTGTAAGTGGAATCATTAAATTAGTAACAGTATGGGGGAAAAAGATAGGTTAGTGGAAAAGTATTAGAAATATCATTTTTACTTGGACATAGTTTGAAATATTTCCTAGGGGCATTTTCTTTTCCCTGATCGTTCTTTAACACTGTTGTCTATCTGGTGATGAGTTATTATAAACGTTTCCTGACTTAGTTTTGTATTTGGTTTGTTTATGTTATTCAGATCTACAGAAGTCATTTCTAATACTTCCTGGAAACTTGTAACACTTTTTGTTTTTCTAGGCTGTCAAAAGACATAATCTAACTAAAAGATGGCTTATGAAGATCATTGATGAAAGAGTAAGTTGAATTTCAAGACTTTTTTTTCCCTATTCAATCCTTAAGTATCTTTATTTTAACATGTGTATTAACATTGAGGGGGAGTGGAAGCTTTCAAAGAACTGTGCCATTTTATCCATACTTTATCCTGCATGCCACCCACCTCAGCATCCTGCAATGCTCACCTTGAGAGACAGGCAAAGATGGGCATCCAGGCAGATGTGTATGTGTGCACAGCCACATCCAACCATTTTGGGTTTTTTTAAATGGAAATTTTCATTTTTACACAAAAGTAGAGAGAATACTGTAATATACTTTCATGTATTTATCACTCGTCTTTAATAGTTATCAGTATGTGTCCAGTGTTGTTTCATCTATAGTCTACCAACTCCTCTCACTAATCCCCACTAGATAATTTTAATGTAAACCCTAGGCATCTTATCATTTGATTTCCAAATGCGTATGTATTTTAAAAAGATAAAGACTTTTTCAAGACATAGCTACAATGTGATTATGGTGCCTTAAAAACTTGCTAATAATCCATAAATACCATCAAATACTCAAGTAGTCATAGCTGCCTTTATGTACATCTCAGTATTTGGATCTGTGTGCCAGTTCCGAGGAATGGACTGCTGTACTAAATTCTCAGAGCTGAGTTCCAGGTCCAGCCTCGCCTTGTGAGTTACTCTGTGATCTTTCTGTTGCATTGTTGTGTCAGTGTCTTTCTTGACTGATACTTACCACATACCTATTGTCATGAAAATGTAAGTTTACTTAGTTTATTTAGATACAGTCTGTTAATAACCATAGACTATAGTAATAATTACAAGCAAAAAATGATTGACAATGACTTCAGCATTGAAAACAAAATTGCTGACTGGGCATAGTGGCTCACACCTGTAATCCTAGCACTCTGGGAAGCCCTTGAGGGATCCCTTGAGCTCAGGAGTTTGAGACAAGCCTGAGCAAGAAAAATAGAAAAATTAGCCAGGCATTGTGGTGGGGACCTGTAGTCCCAGCTACTTGGGAGGCTGAGGCAGGAGGATTGCTTGAATTCCGGAGTTTGAGGTTGCTATGAGCCAGGCTGACACCGTTGTAGTCTAGCCTGGGGCAACACAATGAAACTCTGTCTCAAAAAAAAAAAAAAAAGTTGCTCAGTAGTCCCACAGAATGAATTAGCACTAAGAAAACCTATTTTTCTGGTGACTTCTTTTCTGTTTTTATTGAGGTAAAGAACATTAGAGAACTTGAGACAGAGATACCTTTTTTGTTTAATGAAAAACAACCTTTGACATTTGAAAGGAGTATATTTAGAAGTAAAGCACTGGAATCAAACATTGACCTATAGATTCAATGCAATTCTTACCAAAATTCCAGCTTCTTTTTTGGCAGAAATTAACAAATCCACCCCAAAATTCATATAGAAATGCAAGAGACCCTGAGTAGCCAAAACAGTTTTGACAAAGAAGAACAAAGTTGGAAGATTCACATTTAGACATAGATCAGTGGGACAGACATGAGAATCTGAATATAATATAAACTCATAAACTTATAGTCAGTTGAGTGACAAGGGTGTCAGGATAATTCAGTGGCAAAAGAATAGTGTTTTGAATGAATGGTGCTGGGACAACTGGGTACCCACATGCAAAAGAATGAATTTGAATTTTGAACCTTACCTCACATTATATATAAAAATTAACTCAACCTGGATTGAAGACCTATATAGAAGAGCTAAAATGATAAAACTCTGAGAAGAAAACATAGGCATAAATCTTTGTGACTTTAGGTTAGGCAATTCTTTCTTAGCTATGATGCCAAAAGCACAATCAAGAAAAGAAAAAATAGATAAATTGGACTTCAGCAAAATTTAAAGCTTTTTCACTTTAAAATAAAGTGAAAACCCACAGAATGAGAGAAAATATTTGCTAGTTATATATCTGATAGGAGAGTAGTCTCTCAAATATATAAGGAACTCTTGCAACTCAGCAATAAAGATGATTAAACATTTTTCCAGGGAAGACATCCAAATGAACAATAAGCATCTCAAAAGATATTCAACATCTTTTTATTTGGGAAATGCAAATAAAAACAACAGAATGCCATTTCACACTCAATTAGGGTATCTATAATAAAAAAGATGAACAAGTATTGGTGAAAATGTGGAGGAATTGAAACCATTCACGTGTTGCTGGTGGGACTATAAGATGGTGCTGCTTTGGAAAAACCGTTTTGCAATTATTCAAAAAGTTAAGCATAAAGTTTGCCATAGATCCAGCAGTTCCAGTCAAAGGCTTATACTAACCAAGTGAAGTGAAAACATATGTCCATGTAACACATATACAAATGTTCATAGCAATATTATTCCTAACAGCCCCAACGTGGAAAGAACTCATAATTTATGAATGAGCGGTTAAACAGAACATAGTATATCTATACAATGGTATATTATTAATATTTAATTGCTCAATTAAAAAGAAGGAAATACTGGTAGATGTTCCAACATGGATGAACCTTGAAAACATTAGGCTAAAAGAAAGAAGCAAGACATAAAATACTATATAGTATACTACTCCATTTTTAGGAAATGTCCAGAATAGACAAATCCATGAAGATAGTAGATTAGTGGTTTGCCAGGGCTGAGAGGAGGCAAAAATGGAAAGTGACTACTTGATGGACAGGGGGTTTCTTTTGGGGATGATGAAGATATTCTGGAATTAAATAGTGGTGATGGGGTTACAACTTTGTGGATATATCAAAACTCAAAACCACTGACTGTGTTCTTTAAAACATATTTTATGGTATGAGAATTATATCTCAAAAAATATAAAGGATGTATTTTTTCCTGGAATCATTGCTGATGTCATTTTCTCCTAATTTAAAAAAAATAGGTAGAGCTGGGGCTATTTAGTTTTTGCAAATGTATTATAATCAGAGTGGCTAAATGTTCTTGCTCTAAGATATACAGTTTTCTGTTTCTTGAATACAGTGTATTTAGGTAATCAGCCCTCTTTCTTTTAGTAAGCAGGATTACTCGGGGTGGGGGGGAGCTGGTTATGATTTCTCTTTATTTTCTAGGTATCTTTTCCTCATTAAGAGCATGACTTCAGGGCGGCGCCTGTGGCTCAAAGGAGTAGGGTGCCGGCCCCATATGATGGAGGTGGCGGGTTCAAACTCAGCCCTGGCCAAAAACTGCAAAAAAAAAAAAAGAGCATGATTTCAAGAGTCATAATATGTGGGTTTGAATCCCAACGCTCCCCTTTATTAATCGTGACATTGGACATGTTACTTAATGTGTTCATGCCTCAGTTTCTTCATTTGTGAAGTAAGAATGTATTGATTCCTTATCTTTGGTGTAGGTTGCTAGGGTTAAGAAGATAATGCCTCTGGTGCTTAAGAGCTCAGTAAAGTCAGTTACTCTTGATGCTTTGGGCTTTAGAAGGAATTTAAAATTAAGCCTACCTCATGCCCATGGTGATTTGTGCATTGAGATTATTCCTGAGGTATTATTTTAAGGGATGATTTATAGGTATTAAGTGTGTAGAACTTTTAAGATTTTAAATGCCATTTTAATCTTATTTTGGTGTATATTAAATGATATATACTATTTTTATACTTTATTATTCAGTTCTTTAGGACAAAAAACCCCCCCACTTTTATGAAATACTGGCAGTTGAACAAACTTTGTGTTTTCTTTGACCGTAGGAAAAAAATTTGGATGACAAACCATATCGTAATATCCAGGAACTAGAAAATTATGCTGAAAACACACAGAGCTCTCTTCTTTATTTAATACTAGAGATACTGGGTGAGTTGTTTTTCTGTTTCTCTTTTCAAAATAAACTACATTTGAGATTTCACTCTTTGATATTTTGGCAATCTAACCAGCTTAGCACTGAGGTTTTTCTTTATACTATCTATAAAGAAATGGCTTTTGGTGGCGCCTGTGGCTCAAAGGAGTAGGGTGCTGGCCCCACATACTGGGGGCAGGTTCAAACCTGGCCCCGGCCAAAACTGTTAAAAAAAAAAAAAAAGAAAGAAAAAAGAAATGGCTTTTAGTTGTTTTTTTCAGCATCTTTTGTTTTGTTTTGTTTTTGAACAAGAAGGGGAATATATGTACATGTATCTTTCTTTGGAGTACAGACTAATCTCAAACTCAGGCTCTCAAACCAGTACTGTAGCTACCTTATGGGAATGCTGCAGTTAATAACTTGGGAATTGCAGGGAGTTGTACCTTTTTCCTGTAGCATCTACAAAGCCTGTAGCTTGACTCTTTCCTGTCAATAATATTTCCCCACATTAAAAAAAAAAAAGTAATGGAAATAAAACTGCATTTATAAAACTTTCCATGAGATTTTTTCATTCTCCTCTCTTTTAAGAAATGACTCAGATGGTTCTATTCCTCCTCTGACTTTGCTGCAAGTTAGGATGGCCTTATTGTAATGAGGAAATTATTTGGGGTAAGGACAGTACCATCTCATTTGAGGATGGTAATGTATTTTTTTATGCCACCCTAAAAGAATAGTAAAGTCCCCACTGAATTTCCCAGACCTGTTCTGCCTGCAGTCCCAGTGGCAAGTTTGCCATAATCATGAAAGGAAGGAGCAAAGACAGAAGGTTGGTTAAGCATATACTTAAAATGAGGTCAGATGGAAATTGCACAGAGGGGAAGAAATGGAAGACTTGTAATGTTTTTCCATGATACCCAATTAAAATTCTAAATGTGTTCTTGGTATGCTGTAGTCTAAAGAGCACTCTTTCATTTAAAAGCTGACATTTGGACACCTGCTAGTGGTAAATGATCACCTTGTCTTTGTGCCCATTTCTTCCCTTCTAAATCCTGTTTTTCAGATTTAAAACAGGATCAACCCCTACTTTGACGTGTTTAGGTGATTTGTCTGTGCTGTTTTTATTGACCTATTAAGCACTCAAAGAGAATACAGCAGCCCTGTTTAATTTCTGAAATCGTAGGTATAAAGGATCTTCATGCAGATCATGCTGCAAGTCACATTGGAAAGGCACAAGGCATTGTCACTTGCTTAAGAGCAACACCATATCATGGCAGCAGAAGAAAGGTGTTCCTTCCCATGGATATTTGTATGCTGGTAAGGCCGTAATTTGCACTGTCTACTAATTTACCTCAGGAATACAGGAAGGGAAGTTATCTCCTGGTTTGCTTACTCTCGTCAAGTAACAGCTTTGAAAGAAATGCTTATTGCCTACTACAGATGGTCGTCTTCTTTTTGCCCCAGAGTTACTGAGTCAGAGTTTTATCTGTCAGGCATCTTATGTCTCTGGATGAGCTGTGAGTAAGAAGGTCCAGAGAATCTCATTTGGTGTGGCTTCATGTTGAAGTCTTACTCTCTTCCAAGCAATTGCAATAATCATTCCTAGTGCTCACCATAGTTGGTTCTCTATTTTATTTTATTGGAGGAAGTAGTCCATTTCAAAAGTTGTATGTTTTTGAGAAATTTTGTTTTTTTGTATGAGATTTGTTATTGTCTGTTGTTTTATTTATTTATTTTTGAGACAGAATCTCAGTCACCCTGGGTAGGGTGCTGTGGCATCATAGCTCACAGCAGCTTCAAACTCTTGGGCTCAAGTAAGAGCCTCAGCCTCTTGGATAGCTGGGACTACTGGTGGCCAACTCAGTGCCCAGCTAGTTTTTCTATTTTTAGTAGTGACAAGGTTCTCATTCTTGCTCAGGCTGGTCACGAACTCCTAAGCTCAAGGGATCTCTCAGAGTGCTAGGAGTATAGGTGTGAGCCACCATACCTGCCTTGTCTATTGTTTTAAACTTTTTGTATATTTGTTTTTTTGTTTGTGTATATTTATTCCAGCTACAGTACTTATTAATTACATCTTGTTGCACATTCCAGGTGTGTGTGTGTGTATGTTGATATATATACCCACAGTAGACATATACACACATGTATGTACCTACACATGTATTTTTAAAGAAAAAATAGCCATTTTATGTGTATTGTACATATTGTTCTATCACCTATTTTCTTGAACTAAATTAGTTTTAATTGTGCTTTTATTTTTATTTATTTATTTGAGATAGAGCCTCAAGCTGTCGCCCTGGGTAGAGTGCCGTGGCATCACAGCTCACAGCAACCTCCAACTCCTGGGCTTAAGTGATTCTCTTGCCACAGCCTCCCAAGTAGCTGGGACTACAGGCGCCTGCCACAATACCTGGCTATTTTTTGGTAGTAGTTGTCATTATTGTTGGGCAGGCCCAGGTTGGATTTGAACCTGCCAGCTCTGGTGTATGTGGCTGGTGCCTTAGCCGCTTGAGCTATAGGTGCCGAGCCTAATTGTGCTTTTAGATTTATTTTTTTAAGACAGAGTCTCACTATGTTGCCCTCGGTAGAGTGCCCTGGCATCACAGCTCACAGCATCCTCAGATTCTTCTCTTGTAGTCCCAAGTAGCTGGGATGGCAGGCGCCTGTCACAACGCCTGGCTATTTTTTGTTGCCATTGTCATTATTGATTTTAGCTGGTCCGGCTGTGTTTGACCCCACCAGCCTCAGTGTATGTGGCTGGCGCCTGCCCACTAAACTGTAGGTGCTGCCGATGCTTTTGGATCTCTAATGTATATTTTCCCACACAGCATGGTGTTTCACAAGAGGACTTTCTACGGAGGAAGCAAGATAAAAATGTGAGAAATGTAATATATGACATTGCCAGCCAGGCACACTTGCACTTAAAGCATGTGAGTAGCCTCTTTTTGCCAGGTCATTTAGGTAATTATAATTTTTAGATGTGGCCGTTCCTAGAACATGGTTATAGAATTCCCAACTTGGCAGTCTTTATTCCATTTTTTTATTGAATTGCCAGTAGATTTATCTTAGAGACTATTGTAAACTTAATACTTTTTAAAAATCCCCTGTCTCCCTCATGGCCCCTGAATCACCCCTTGCTGAGTAAATCAAGCATGAGTGTTCTTAGGTGGGCTCCTCTGTGCTCCATCCACTCACTGTTTCTCTGGCTCTCAGAGGACAAGGTGTCTTTCTGCCTTGCCGAGACTGTCCTCCCTCTTCTGAGTGTACTACAGAATCACAGAGGTAGGGAAGCCTTGGCCCTGTGTGGGAACCTGAGTTGTCCACTTGATGGATGTGTAAGGCACCTGAGAAATAGTCACTCCCTGGAGATTGGGATAGTAAACCTAGGAGAGGGCCAGGGATTACAATTCTGAATGATTTTGAACAGCCAGTTCTGAAAACTATTGGCTAATAGGTTATATGTAATACAGTGCTGGAAAATGGGTTTGGAGTCGTAGATTGAAGAAAGATTATGGAGTTTTAGAGGCTTCTAAGAGGCAATACCACATGGTGGTTGAGAGTGCAGACTCTCAGACCAGAAGCCTGACTTTAATCCTAGCTCTGCCATGTGATCGTTTGATTTTGACCTCTCTCTGCCTCAATTTCCTTATTTGTGAAAGATGATTATATTAGCACCTAGCTTAAAGGACTATTTGGATAAATAAGTTAACATATGTAAAGAGTTGATAATAGTAAGTGACATACATATCGGTTAGCTTTCATCACCATCATTGTCAGCAACATCAGGGAAAGCAATGGTTTTAGTGTTTGAGAGCAGAAAACTGCCTGCAGAGTCTGAGACAAGAGTTTGGAAGTCAGGAGATCAGTTAGGAGACATTTAGGGCAAGGAGAAAGAGCATCTGGCTTAGAGACTAGATTTTATGTATGTGCCGGTATGTACCTATGTTTTCACATGCACACACTTAACTGAAGCAGAACTAATTCAGCTTGATAACTAACTGGACTGTGGAAAGATCAGGAAGGGGGGAAGTTAAAGGCCATGCAAACAGTTCAAGTACAGACGATGGTGGTGCCATTCAGAGACTGTAAGTGAAAGAAAACCCACTGGTGTTTGGTGCTGATCTTCAGACTTTATGTTAGCTGCTGGACATAACTGAATTTGAGGGGATTAGAGGACAATTAGGGAGGTGGACTAATGAAGAATGTAAGGTTGTGACTTTCAAAGGAGGGCTAGACTAGAGATACTAATGTATTTGGGAGTCATCCACATAATAGGCTGCTGATTAAAGTTCTAAGTATGCATGGTATTGCTCAAGGACAATATATATCTAGACAACAGGACCAGGGCCGGAACCTTGAAGCCCACTTCCATTTATAAGGTAGAAGAAAGAAAGAATGTCCAAAGAAATAGGAGAACCGAGAATTAGTGTCTCTCAAAAAGTAAAGAGGGCAGAAAATTCCAAGAATTCCAAGAAAGGGTAATATGAAAGTTTTATATGCTATGGAGAGATTGAAAAGATGATGATGGTGATTACTAAATCATGGATGATCTTAGAGCACTTTCAGTAATGGTTGGGGGTGAAACCAGAGTATGGTGGGTTAAAGAGTGAGTCAGGAAGTCGAAAGTGAGTATCTGCTCTTTCTGGCGTAAGGGACAATATAAATGAAGACATGGAGACAAGAGTAGGCTTGGCCGACATGGGATGGTGGGCATCAGTCTGAGTGGCCAGAGGTTCATACCTCAGAGTGCTAGGGAGTAATGTGGGATAGATGAGACTAGAGACAAGATATAACAGCTATTGAATTCCAAGAGAAATAGTTGAGACTTGATCTACCAGGGAGTTAAAACAGTAAAAATGAAGGGTGGCACCTGTGGCTCAGTGGGTAGGGTGCTGGCCCCATATACCAAGGGTGGTGAGTTCAAACCCAGCCCCGGCCTAACTGCAACAAAAAAATAGCTGGGCATCGTGGCAGGCACCTGTAGTCCCAGCTACTTGGGAGGCTGAGGCAAGAGAATTGCCTAAGCCCAGGAGTTGGAGGTTGCTGTGAGCTGTGTGGTCACGGCACTCTACTGAGGGTGATAAAGTGAGACTCTGTCTCTACAAAAAAACAAACAAACAAAAAAAGTAAAAATGAAATTGTGACATAAGGATGTTAGTTTAGCCAGCTGTGTGGGACAAAAGGTTAGGGAACACAGAGGCAGAAAGATCACCAAAAGGGTCCCACATTCATTTAAACAAGAGATGATGTCCTTCTAAGCTAAGGCGGTGCTGGGACATTTTAGCATAAGTGTTTCTTCATTCACCCCTCACCACAGAGCTAGAGAGTCTCCCTGTGTCCTTCAGGTTTAGGAAACTCTTAACCTGCAGGAGACAAGCTCTTTTCTTGCTTTTAGAGGCGCTAGCTGTGGTGTTAAACTGCTGGTGTTGTTTTGTGTTCCCTTTCAGAGGGAGAGTGTTCATTTGCAGAAATATTTGAAACCAGTTTCCTTCTCTCTTCCTTTTTAGGCCCGGTCCTTCCACAGAGGTGTTCCTGTGGAAGCATTTCCTGCTTTTCTTCAGACGGTAAGTGGATTACCAGAGGGGCTGTGTAATTAGTGAAGCAGATGTGTGTGGTCTCTTTTTATGTCTTGTGACGTTCCCAGTGCAGTTCTTTGGCTTGGAGCCCTTGTTTTTGTGTCCCTCCCTTATGTGGGGGGGCTTCATTAGGTACACGAACTTTTGGTGATGATCCTTTCTGTTTCCCAGAAGCACTTGAGCTGAGTTGTTGGCACCGAGTCTGCAGCCAGACTGCATGGGTTTGAATCTGTTTTGCCCCTTGCTAGCCATGGGACCTTAACTTCCTTAACCACCGTGTTTCTCAGTTTACTTGTAGGCAAAATGGGACTAATAAGAGAAACTACCTCATAGGATTGTTAGGCTGTTTATAGCTATGTAAGTATTACCATTCCATTAAGTTTTTCTCCATAGTGACCCGACCATACGGTACCACAGCTTCCTGAACAGTGGGTCACAGACCAGAGCTGAGCTGGCTGCATCAGAAAAAATAAAATTTTTAAAAATATAGATTCCTGGAGTCTTCTTACTCAATCAGATGCGTGGGATTGAGGAGGAGGCCAGTTCCCAGGAGAATTTTTGATTTTAAAAAGTTCCCCCAGTTGATTCTGATGGTATCTAGGTTTCAAGAACTGTTTAAATGTATAGAGAAATGGTAATCACTATCAATTACTTAGTATGTATTACCGGACAGGCCCTGAACTAGGTCATTCCATACATTTTCTTTGTCTTTCTAGGAATAAATTTAAGTATAGCCACTTCATTTTATATGTAGAAAGATTTGTAATCTTTGAAAATTGTAAACTCATGTGCTTTCTGTAATACCCAATGTATCTTCTCCCTTTCACACCTAAAATATATTTTAAAATTAATTTCAGTCCTTTCATATCTATCTTAATTTTCAGGTTTCTGTGTTTGAAATCATTTTGTTTCTTTATTGGGTTTGCTTATTATAGAAGTAATACATTAATATTTTAAATGTTCACATAATGTAAGGGAAAGCAGAAGAAGAAATTAGAACCCTCACAATTTTGTCCTATCCAGAGGTGAAATCTGCTCATCTTTCTGCACCTTGTATGTACATGTGATCATTTATGTATTTTTGCATATGACAACACTTGTTGTTCTGTATCACCCTTTTTAATGGCTGTTCATTTGGTGGATGTACTATCAGCTATTTAAAATACTGAGTACACTCCATAAAGGCTAAGGGCTTTGTCTTATTCTGTTCTGTGTAAAGTTTGTTCTCAACCCTGGCTGCCCACTGGAATCACTTGGGGAGCTTTAAAACAAATCAAAACAATGCGTAGGCCCCTTTCCAGACCAATAATTAATAATATCTAAGAAGCTGGAACCAGGCATTGACACCTTTTAAAAGCTTCCTTAGTAATTGTGAAATGCAGCTAGGATCCACCCAGTGGTTCTCAACATGTGGTCTTTGGATCAGCAACACTCACCCCACCTGGGAACTTGTTAGAAATGTACGTCTTGGTGGCAGCACCCAGCACCTGTAGCTTAGTGGGTAGAGTGCTGGCCATATACATTGAGGCTGGCTGTTTGAACCTGGCCTGGCCAGCCAAACAACAATGACAACTGCAACAAAAAAAGTAGCTGGGCGTTGTGGTGGGCGCCTGTAGTCCCAGCTACTTGGGAGGCTGAGGCAAGAGAATCACTTAAGCCCAAGAGTTTGAGGTTGCTATGAGCCGTAATGCCAGGGCACTCTACCAAGGGCAACATAGTGAGACACTGTCTCAAAAAAGAAAGAAAAAAAGAAATGTATATCTTGGGATCTGCTGTAGACCTACTAAGTCAGAAACTCTAGGACTGAGGCCAGCTCTCAGTTCTATCCTGTGCCAAGGGAAATTAGAGGGATAACATGGCAGTCCCTGAGGGGGACTGTGCTACACCCTCATTTTAGCTTGAGCAGGGCCTCTTTTTATTTGTTTTATGTAGAGAGCATCTGTTAATTACTTTGTTCAAATAAAAGGTTTTGCAGTTTAAAAACTACTTGAAAGTGACTAGTTTACACAAAGTATATTCTCCATATACTTTGGGGTATAAGAATACATATTCAGAAATTGTAACATCTTTGAGAATCTCACAACAAATTCATTACCTTGAACTTATTAACCATTAGCTAGACTTTTTTTTTTTTTGCAGTTTTTGGCTGGGGCTGGGTTTGAACCCACCACCTCTGGCATATGGGGCCAGTGCCCTGCCCCTTTGAGCCACAGGCGCCGCCTGCTAGACTTTCTTTTGAACCACATCCTAATGGGTTAATAGCCAGATGCACTGTAATTTTGAGGGCATGTTTCATCTGGAGTTTTCTCCTAAATGTCAAAGCAGTACATTACCATAATAAAGAAGTGGACAGGCTCGGAGCCTGTGGCTCAAGTTGCTAAGGCACCAGCCACATACACCTAAGGTGGCAGGTTCAAATCCAGCCCGGGCCTGCCAAACAACAATGATGGCTGCAACCAAAAAAATGGCCAGGCAATGTGGCAGGCGCCTATGGTCCCAGCTACTTAGGAGGCAGAGGCAGGAGACTTGCTTAAGCCCAGGAGTTGGAGGTTGCTGTGAGCTGTGATGCCAGGGCACTCTACCCAGGGGGACAGCTTGAGGCTCTGTCTCAAAAAGAAGTGGACAATGTAAAAAGAGTATAAGAAGAAAAAAATCCTCTATAATTCCAGCCCCCAGAGATAATCACTATCATTGTATTCTTTTAAAAAAAAATTTTAAATATACATGTGTTTATTAGGTTTCCACTTTTTGCCTTCACAAAATTAAAAAGACTTAAAATTTAATAACAATAACAATGTTTAAGAAAAGGGCTAGAAACAAAAACCTTGTAAAGAATGAATGAAGATAAATACATTCAGAAAAGAAATCAGACAATTGCTGCATCGAAATATTAAGCAATAATAATAATACTGCAAAGAAAGTAACATTCACATTGTCAAATAAGAGTATGTCTATTATAGAATGCTTTGACTTTGAGGTTCAGTATGGAGTCATCAGTTAACTTCTTATTTTTTTCCCAAAGTTTCAAAAAATAGATAACTACTATTTATAGATAAAAGTAAAAGATAATTTTAAAAAACAGATCATTCAAAAAAAGATAATTTCAAAAGACAGATCATGCCAAATCTTATAGACAATAGAAAAAGAAGAAATACTTCAAAATCATTCTACTTAATCTGGATACACCTGATATTAAAATTGGAGAAAATATATTATTATAAAGGAGAAATTACAAACATATTTCACTTATAAATGAGGATGTAATATCCTAAACAACATATTAACAAGTTGAATTAAAAATTAATGTGTAAGTAATGTACTTTGGTCAAAATTTATGTGAGAATTAGTCACTATCTTTTTTTCTGTATTCTTTTTTAAAATGATTTTTTTCTGTACAATTGAAGTCACACTTTGTATGTTAGTGTCCTGTTTATCAAGCAGGTTTCTGCTTATATCTTCTAGAACATATATAACACACTTTTAATATATCTGAGATTTGTGTAAATATTGCATCTAGCTGCAGTACATTTACTTTACTACAGTATAATATTTCATTGTATAAACAATTTACCATTTTTTGTCAAAGAATTTCTGGATTGTTTCCAAGTAATGTTTTGTTTTGTTTTGTTTTGTTTTTGAGACAGAGCCTTAAGCTGTCACCCTGGGTAGAGTGCTGTGGTATCATAGCTCATAGCAACCTCCAACTCCTGGGCTCAAGTGAGTCTCCTGCCTCGGCCTCCCAAGTAGCTGGGACCACAGGCGCCTGCCACAACGCCCCGCTATTTTTTGGTTGTAGCCATCATTGTTTGGCGGGTCTGGGCTAAATTCGAACTCGCTAGCTGAAGTGTATGTGCCTGTGAGCCACTTGAGCCACAGGCACCGAGCAAAGTCAAGTTTTTTTTTTTTGAGACAGAGTTTCACCATGTCACCCTTGGTAGCTTGTTGTGGTGTCACAGCTCACAGCAACCTCAAACTCTTGGGCTTAAGCGATTCTCTTGCCTCAGCCTCCCAAGCAGCTGGGACTATAGGCGCCTTTTTTTATTTTAATGCCTCTTGTTTCCTACTCCACTGTTCTAAGAGGCACCACTTCCTACCCGTCACAATGCCTGGCTATTTTTTGGTGCAGTTGTCATTGTTTGGCTGGCCTGGGCTGGGTTCAAACCCGACACCCTTAGAGTATGTGGCTGGTGCCGTAACCACTGTGCTACAGGCGCTGAGCCCCAAGTCAAGTGTTTTTCCAATATAAAAATAAGGCAGCAGTGCACTTTCATGTACTTATCTCCTGTTGTGTATATATATACACTTAGGGTATTTAAAAGTAGATAATGAATTTTCTTGGATATACATTTGTATGTCAAAATGTATAGGAGAAAGGCTAGAAGAAAGCACAATACTTTTTGTTTTCTTCTTATCTGGGTGTATTCTAGAGACTGTGCACATAATCCCTGTGTTGGATCACTGAGGTTCAGCGTTGTGGAACTCCAGGGGGCGCTGTGCACATGCACTGGGAAGGAAGTGGTGCCTCTTAGAACAGTGGAGTAGGAAACAAGGGGCATTAAAATAAAAGAAAGGCACCTACAGTCCCAGCTCCTTGGGAGGCTGAGGCAAGAGAATCAATCGCCTAAGCGCAAGAGCTGCAGGTTGCTGTGAGCTGTGACAACACGGCACTCTACCAACAGCAACAAAGTAAGATAAATAAATAGGGTGCCGCCTGTGGCTCAAAGGAGTAGAGCACTGGCCCCATAGGCTGGAGGTGGTGGGTTCAAACCCAGCCCTGGTCAAAAACTGCAAAAAAAATAAAAATAAAAAAAATAATAAAAATGTACAAATAATAAAGATAACAGAAAGCCAAAAAAATTAAAAGTACTGTACATCTTTGTTTCTATCCTGTCACTATCTTGGTGAAAACTTTGTCAAGCTTTATGTGGCAGGACAAGGGTGGGTTGCCAATTATAGAGATCTGGTTGCAAATTGTATGTTCTCAGAAGAACATGGAGACTCCTTCAATTTTTTCACAAAATTAAGTAATTTTTTGAGAAGACACCTTGAGCTCCCTCTTGTGGAACACTGCATTTGGGGACTGGGGGTGGAAAGGATGTTTGATTTTCCCTGATTGAAACCTCCTTTTTGTGTTCCTCAGAATCTGGTAATAACACCAGGCAAACATAATCTCTCTAATCTTTTCTATCTTGACCAGAGCATTATACAATAGAACTTCTGTAAGTTGATCACTGAAGGGACCTTAAAAAACTGGTCAACATATGTAGGTGGTTAACATAAGGAACTAGGCCTTCTGTACTCAAACATACATGTGATACATGTCTGGTCTATGGAAATTAGGCCAATTTGGTTGGGTGCAGTGGCTCATGCCTGTAATCCTAGCACTCTGGGAGGCTGAGGTGGGTGGATTGCTTGAGGTCAGGAGTTCAAAACCAGCATGAACAGGAGCAAGGTCCCCTATCTCTGTTAAAAATAGGAAAACTAGCTGGGCATCATGGTGGATACCTATATAGTTCCAGCTACGAGGAGGGTGTGGCAAGGGAATCACTTGAGCCTAAGAGTTTGAGGTTTCTATTAGCTAAGATGCCATGGCACTCCAGTCTGGGGGAACTGAGTGAGACTCTGTCTCAAAAAAAGAAAAAAAAATTAGGCCAACTTGAGGTGGTCAACGTAGGGAGGTAACCAACTGTGGAGGTTCTAGGGTAAGAAGAGGCTTGATATTTCTAGGACTCGCTCTGTGATATTGTTTTACTAGCCTAATAGAAACTTCTTAGGAGATGTCCTTATTTTCTCTCTTTCTTTAAAAATTCTCATTTACATTCTTATTCTGTAGAAGACCATTTCAAAGAAACTAAGATAGCCTTAATGCTTGTAATTTTTCTTTAGTTTCTTCTAGATACTTGATTATTTTATGATCTAGTGACCACTATTTTCCTTTTCCAGGTTTCCCTAGAGGACTATTTAAAGAAAATTCAACAAGTGGATTTTGATATATTCCACCCATCTTTACAGCAGAAGAACACTTTACTTCCATTATCTTTGTATGTTCAGTCATGGAGAAAAAGATATTAAAATAAGTTTATGGCACTGATACTTATTTATTCTAATAGTTTTATAAAAGTATACTAGTTAGGGTTCCTGTTTAGAAATGACAAGAATTGACTCTGTTTACTTAACGGGAAAATGAATTTATTAGATGGGTGTTGAGTGGGTCACAGAATTGTTGAGAAGTTGCTGTGGGACTAGATGCCAAGACACTACTGAGTTTCTGCTACGGGACCCACAGTTGGCACCACCAGCCCAGACAGTGTCAGCTATGCCATCCCTGGGATGTTGGAGTCCAGGAGGAAAACTCAGTTTAGCTGTGCTTAGGCTGTAAGCCAGCGATTTTCAGCCGGTGTGCTGCAGTACACTGGTGTGTTGTGAGAGGATCTTTGGTGTGCCATGAAAATTTTTAGAAATCATTAATTGTTTTGGAAAGAAGTTCAAAGCACAGTAAGTGTATTCTTTTTTCTTACTCCTTTTTTGTTTTTGATCAATATAATTTAAGTGTACCTTGGAAGTTTAACTGTAGGTTCAAGTGTGCTGTGAGATTAAAAAAAAAAAAAAGGTTGAAAACACGGCTGTAAGCCATGCTTCAGCCATTGGGCAAGGAGAGGGAACATCATAGTCCCCCCCCTCACCCTTGGGAGGGAAAGGGGAAAGGACTCAAGTTAGCCAGTGTTTGCATGCAAAGTAGCTAAAACTCAGGGTTCAGCTGGAAATACTTTTATTTAGGGATCACAAAGAACAAAGTTAATATTTAAAGAATATCCCTAATACTTAATCTTTATAATCTAGTGTGAAAGTTTATCCATGATGATGACTTCCTTAAGGTGAGGCAGCAACTGATAAGACCCTTAATTTGGGCTGCGCTGGCTCACATCTATAATCCTAGCACTGGGAGAGGGAGAGGCAGGCAGAGCCCTTGGGCTCAGGAGTTTGAGACCAGCCTGAGCAAGAGCAAGACCCCATCTCTACTAAAAATAGAAAATTTAGCAGGGAATTGTGGCAGTGCCTATAATCCCAACTACCCTATAGGCTGAGGCAGGAGGATACCTTGAACCCAGGAGTTAGAGGTTGCTGTAAGCTAGGCTGATGGCTCTGTAGCCTGAGCAACAGAGTGAGAATCTGTCTCAAAAAAAGACTTGACTTTAACTTTAGCCCTGAGTGATGCTAGAAGCTTTTACTTTTTTTGTTATTCCCACTGCTTCAGTCTGTCATTCAGCATTATTATGATCATGAACAAAATTGTATTCACAAAATTTGTATTAGTATAAATTACATTAACAGTATTGCATCAAATATCTATTAGGATCCTATTTTTTAAAAACTAACACATTGTGCTTCTCAGTGATAAGCACTGTGCTATATACTTTCATTCATAATTCTCATTTGATTTTCCTAAAAACTGTATGAAATAAAACATGTTTTCATTAAACTTTTAAATTATAACAAGACATACCAACTGCAAAAACCAAAATTCTTTTCATTGCTGCTGATTGGTCTATCTAGGATCTAAATGAGTCTGTCTGCCAAGACCAAGGTTATGCCACAGTTTTCTTTTTTCTGTCCTGCCACATTGTCCTCTATCCCATTTCTCTTAAGTTTTTGGTTTTAGCTACGAATTAGTGTCTGCTTAAATTGTGAGTGGCTTAAATTATTACATTTTTCCAAACGAAATTCAAATGGAGAGCTTTTTGAGGGCACAAGTACATGTTTCATATATCTTGGCATTCTCCCAGTACTTAGAATGGCTTCTTAGAGCAAGTGGATATTAGTAAATGTATAATTGAGTGTGCATTATGAGTGTGTATGTTAGTATACTCTCAGTTGGTGCTGATGCTAAAAAAAAATCTTGTTTAATTCTGTGGCTTGAGTGAGCTGTCTAACTTATCTTCAAAGGCAAGTACAAGGAAATGGGACATGTTTCCTCTTGGGATTCCGAGTGTTTCAGAGGTGAAAAGTTCAGTAGAGATAGTCTTTGTTAGTGAGTATTGTGTGCAGGCCTTCCCAGATTAAATTTGGCAGCAATCATCTGCTAAGCATCTTGGCTCCTGTCTAAGGGTCCTAAAAAGAAGGGTTTAAACACTCAACTGCATTACAGGATTCTTTACTGGAGTAGAAGCCAATTTACTATTATTAATTTCAAAATATTCTCTAAGCCATTTTAAATTTGATGCTTAGAGATTTGGATGAAGTAAAATTACCAATCTAAAGATTAAAATTGACTCTGACTCAGTGAAATCTACTGTACTATTTATTTCCTGGCATAAAAATACTCCCTTAGAGGGTGCCAACATTTGTTTTTATTTTTCAAATCTAACTTTTTAGTAGAGTACTTTACAAAAGTCAGATAAAATTTCAAACCATTTAAAATGTACTTTGGTACTGAGTAGGTGGACATCAACAGATAGCAAATATTAAGTATGAATTATAGATTAACCTCAGTGTAGGCAGAGTTGCATATCATTATGAAATAAGTTTTGGGTAGTTCTCAATCAATTGGTAACATTCTCTCTCTCCTTTTGCTTGAAGCTCTCCTTGTGATGAAATTAAATTGATCTTGAAAAATGTAACACTTAACTGAACACAACCTTAAACACATGGTGTGCTTTGCACTTTCTGCTGCAATCTTCACAGTGAAGTAGGTCTTCATTTTCAAATGATACAACTATCTTAGAGATGTTAGATTTAAGGTCACATAGCCATTAGTACTAGAGCTGGATGCCAAACCCACATTAGTTCAATGCCAAAGCCCATTATTTTTTTTTTCTTACCATTATTGAGATTGTAAAATAAACTGCCAAGTTTAAAAGCTAGAGGGCACAACTTTTTTTTTCAGAAATATGTATTACTGCATAAAGTTCAGATACAAATTAGGTTAAAAAAAAGTAATTACTATGGAAATTCCAACTACAAATTAGGTAATCAAGAAATAGGCAACTGCAATAGATACTAAGGGCTGGTCACTAGGTATATAGAGGAGGGGACACTTAATTGCCTTGGAAGTCAAAGAGCGTTTCCCAAGGAGGTGGCATGTGAACAGCGTCAGGATCATTGGGTAGGAGCCAGGGCTTGGGAAGGGTGTGTTGATGCTGTAGGGAGGTTCTGGCCGAAGGAGGGCCTGGCCTGAAAGCAGAGCAGATGAAGACTTCTAATTTTTTTGCCTCTAACTTATTTAAGTAGAAAGAACAGAATGTCCAGAGTTCTTAGGAAAGTTTGTGAATCAAAAGTGGCCACATCCCCTGGTCTAATGAGACATTCTGAAGTAAGATCAGAGACTTGGGAATTTATATTTTGCCCATTTCAGCAAATCCCTAGGTGCCCTTGGATTTGTTTTAGCTCATATAAATTGGACTTCTCTGAAGACACTGGCCTAATTGATTGCCTTGTCCGGAAGAATCCAGAGTTGTAAACATTGTGCAGATGGTTATTAAAAATAAAAACAAAACACGATCCTACCGTTTGTTTCAGTAAGGAGGACTGGGCAAGAAACCACACACACCCCGAATTGAGAATAGTATCAGAAATGGGTCAGAAGGAGGGGAGAGGAGTTGGGGGGATTCATTAAAATAATTTGGATACTTCACTTTACCTACTTTTTCTGTAATAAGCATATATTTCATGGGTAGCTGTGAAGTTATTTCTTAAAAATTAGACCCCTCAAGTGAGAAAGCTGGTGGCAGAAAGGGGGCTGTGATTGAATTTATGGAATAATGGATAAGTAGACGTGAGTTTTTCTATCAAATCTATATACACCAGTTAAAAGAGTTTGTTCAACAACAGAAAGGAATATTGGGCACAATAAATTATTAAATATGTGACTCATTCTATAGCTTTAGCTAAAAAGAAAGAAATTGAAAGAGTTTGCATCCCCAGCAGTAGGGCAGTGCTGTGAAGCGCTTCTTTTAAGACGGTGGCCTCTGGAGGAGGCTGACTGCCACCAGAGTAACAGCTGTGTAACCGTAGCAAGTTCTCCCGAGCCTCTGTTGCTCCATTTGTAAAATAGCCAAAATCATGTCAACCTCAGTGGTTGTGAGGGATGAGTTTCTACCTGTAAAGTGCTTAGAACAGTGGTAAACGTCAGATGCCATTAACATTATTATGCAGAAGTCACAAACTGACAGCCTGAACCATTTTAGGCCTGCCTGGGGTGTTTTGTTTTGTGGGAATGGCACTTGGAAAAGAATGAGAACCTGAATGCCTTTAAACAGGATGAGAACCCGAACGCCTCTCCTGTTGGCCACAGGTCCTAGCATGAGCTAATACCACAAACTCAACCTGACTCATAGATTCATGTTACTTCTTCTATAAACACTTTAGTTTATGACCAATAATTCAGGAGAATCAGTGGGTGGTGGATTAGTAACAATTTGGGGTTACTTCATCAAGCACAGCCTTACTTTCCCCCCAAATGCTGTCTTGTAACTACTCTGTGCACATCTCTCCCTAACTTAGCCCTGTTCCTTGCGTGCAAGACAATGTTTTATTCACCTTTGTATGTCAGAATCTGCCATGAATCCTGATGGCTGCTTCAAAAATCTCTGTGGTCTGAATGAACATGCTGTAGTATAACGTGGGATGGGGGCTCCCAGGACATGTTTAGAGTTTGATCTGACATGTAAAGGGTGGAACAAGTGCGTTTGTTAAAGATGTGACATCTGGACAATGTGTATGGTGTCCAAGAAACTAGGTTGTTGAATATGATTGGAAAGTGGTGTGAGGAAGGAGAAATAAGGCTGGAAAAATAAATAAGCCCTATGAAGGTATTTGGATTTTTAAGAATGGCATGCGATTTGATTTTCCACAACTGGTCCATAACACATAAATTTTGTGTATATAATCATGGATATTATTTACATTATTTCTAATGTAATCATATCTTTGGATAAGCAGTGCCTTTTAAGTGATATATGAAACAGAATGTCTTTATTGTTGTTTGATAAATCTGTGGGTTGACTTTATCCCCTGCACAAATACTGTTTCCTTTGAGTCATGCTTTTTCCATTAAACAG